CAGTCCTGGTTCAGTCCTGGTTCAGACCTGGTCTATAGCCCTTGTGTTACACAGTAAAAAAACAAAATCCAGCCAAGTTAAAATGACTCGAATTTGAATAAAGTTTGATCACGATTTGAGTAAATTTCACTTCAAACGTAAAATGATCTGCCAGTGGAACAAGACTTTTTGTACTTAAATTATGAAACTACATCTTGCTACACTTAAATTAAAAAAAACAATAACTCTTTGAATAGAACTGAACAAATATCTTTATTATTGTTGCAACAAATACGACAAAATTAAGTTCAGTCCTCGTTCAGTGCAAAGGCAGCAACAACAAAAAAAGAATAAGAATCTCTATGGACATTAAAAAAAAAAAAAACAGAGTAGATAAAATCCTCACACACCCACACACATCCACATTCATAAATGTAAAACGTAAAAAAATATATTCTTTGGTAACACCATTTAGTGACATAAGAAGATTTAGAAAAATAAGAAACAAAATCGAATGTTGCTTGAATTAAGAAAAACACACTTACTCCATTGGTGGATAATTTTATTTGTCATGTTGAATTGACTCCAAAAAAAAAGTAAAATGTGCATTAATTTAAGTCTTTTTAATTTACCTACATATTGTTTATTTCAGTGTAAACCTTACAACCTCTGTACATAAACATATAATCTACACACTGGGAAAAAAAACAATATATAGGTAAATTAAAATGACGTAACTTAAGAATATTTGACTTTATTTGAGTCGATTTAACTTGACGAGTAAAATTAAGTGTGTTTTTCTTAATTCAGTTTCTTATTTTAACTGCAGCAAGTTGTATTTTCATATTTTAAGTCCAAAAAGTCTTGTTACACTCGCAGATAATTTTACTCGTCAAGTGAAATTTACTCAAATCATGATCAAACGTCATCTAAACTTGACTAGTGCTCAATTACATTTACTTGAGTAACTTTTTAAAGCAGATTTTTGCTCTTTGGCTTTTTATTTATTGTTTAGAAATGATCAAAAGTGGGTGCAATGGGAAAAAAACAATATCTAGGTAAATTAAAATGAGGTAAATTAAGAACATTTGACTTTATTTGAATTGATTTAACGTGACAAGCAAAATGATACACCAATGGAATAAGTGTTTTTCGATTTTGTTTTGTATTTTAAGCGCAAAAAGTTGTTGTTTTTGGTATTTTACGATGTGTTTTCATATTTTAAGTACAAAAAGTTTTAGTCTCGAGTGAAATTTACTCAAAACTTTCTTAGTTCAAATCATCTTAACTTGACCAGATTTTGTTTTTTTTGCAGTGCAGTCAAACAGTTCATATCCTCTCCCTCCCTCTTCTCCTCTCTGTTCCTCTCCTCCCTCCTTTTTTTTTCCTCCTCTCCTCCCTCTGTTCCTCCATTCATCCTTTCTGTCTGTATGAAATGTCGTTGGTGCCTGTGCCCCTCTGTCCCCCCCGCCCCCACGCGCCTCACTGAGACATAATCTGATTTTGTAGGTCGCCTAATTTCCCCGCAGCGCAGGGACTCCCACGGCCGCGCTCGGGCTCTAATTGCCGGGCTTGTGTGTGCGCGAGTGTCGGTTATTAGCTGGTAATGGCGCGGGCGAGGTGGACATTTTACGCACGGCTCCGCGTTATTACGTTACGTTACATTTCACGTACGAATCCATTTACAGAGGCTCTTAATCGAAATTCAGAAATCAGTGTCTGACCGAATCAAAATAAAATCAGGAGCGCGAAGAGAGTTTGGACATGCGCAGTGTCGCCAAACTGTTCGCGTAAAGCTTGTGCGTAATTGTGTGCGTAATTTGCGTAATTTTTGAGACATTACTCGTTTGTAACACTATATTATTGCACTTTATTGAGCTTAAATAAATAATATATTGTCTCACGTTGCTTGGAATGAAAACACGTGACACCTGTATGACAATTTAAGGCGTTAGTCACAGTTTGAGTCCATTGTCCAAGCGGATTTATCCAAACTGGTGATTTATCGCAGTTTTACGCAAGCAATGTCCTAAGTGTCGCAATTTTTTACCAATTTTATCCAAGCCAAGAGTAAAAAGAGGCATAAATTGTGATTAGTTTAGTTAAAATACAGAGAAGCTGCTTAAAAATTACAGTTAAACAAAGAAAATGTGATTATATTGACTCATATTAGTGCCAAATACGTAAAAATGTTCCACAATTACGCACTCGTTTCACAATTTTATTATTAGTGTCACCGTTATTTATTAGTGTGTTATTATTAGTGTCACCGTTTTTTAGTTTGATTTGGTCAGTCTGTGCTGGTGCTTGTCAGTCGTGCCAAAATTATTATTATTATTATTTATGTGGCTGTGTGAAGGCCTAATGGATCGATTCTCCAAATATGAATCGACTCCATTGAAGTGTCTTTCAAAATAAACGCTATCTCGTGTCTTGGGGGGGGGTTACGCGTTTGTCCAAAGTCCAGACTCTCTCCAACTTTCTCAGTCTGAGGCGTTTGCGCGAGTCTCTGATCAATAACGCGATTAAAAAGTGCGCAGCGCCGCGTAGTCTGGCTTTATCGGGCTTTTCCTGCGCCATGGCCCATGTCACTCTCCCCGGAGCTAATTGGCGCTCGTGTTTGGGTCCAGAGGTCGTGGCTGCTGTAAAACTTTACGACCACGCATCGATTAGGAGCGTTTAAAAGGCCTGGACAGACGCTGGGCTGGAGGGGAAAGAAGGGGAGGAGGAGGAGGAGGAGGAGGGGGCAGAGGCAGAGCGGTGTCGCCGACTGCGCGGTGCCACAAGCCGGACACTGCGCAGAGCGAGGCCCGGGGGCGCTGGAGGAAGAAGAAGAAGAGTGGAAAAGTGGAAGCTGGTTCACTCCATCTTCCTTTCTCTCTCTTTCCTTCTCTGCGTCCAGTTCTCTCTCCGTGGGGGGGGGGTTGCCTCTTCCCAAACCGCACGTGAATTATTGATACGCGAGTCATCTGTTCCGGGGATCGCCACAAAGCCCCGCGTGGCCCCCGTGGAGGAAGATTTCGTGGCAGAATTCCTCTCGCGGGGCCTATGAGAATTACGCCCGTCATTATGCCCCGCGATTAATAATTCAAAATTCCCCTTTCCCCACGACTTCTGTGTTAATCCGAGCCAACGCGCCACGCACATTCCCAAATAAGGGCACGCAGGGTTTAAACAAAGCCCGAGTGTGGGCTGCTGTGACCCCGGCGGTGAGATGGCATTTGGTGCACGCCGCGCTAATGTGAAAATATGTGTGTTTCTGGCAGATTACGCAGCTGAAAATCGACAACAACCCGTTCGCCAAAGGATTCAGAGACACGGGGAATGGAAGGAGGGAGAAGAGGTAAATGACGCGCAAAAAACGCACCGTAAATCACCTTCAAATCACGCTTTTTTTTTGGTTATAACTGTGTGTGTGTGTGTGTGTGTGTGGGGTGGTGGTGTTTGGCAGGAAACAGCTGACCATGCCGTCGCTGCGCATGTACGAGGACCAGTGCAAGGACCGGGAGGGCGCGGACTCGGACGCCTCCTCCAGCGAGCCTCCCGCGGGCAGAGACACGAGCCACTCCCCGCTGGGGCCCGGAGGGAGCCCGCTGCGCTTCAGACCCGGCCGAGGTGAGGCACAGTCAAGTCGGTCCGCGGGGTTTTTGGACACCCAGAACAATCACGAGGGGAAGTTTGGGAATTAGACGTGAGAGTTCGTTTAATACAGGAGAGATGATCGTTTTTTAAAGCAAATTTCTGCTCCTAGTCTCTTTATTTATTGTTTAGGAATGATCAAAAAATGATTACAGTGGAAAAAACAATATCTAGGTAAATTAAAATGACTTAAATGAAGAATATTTGACTTTATTTGAGTCGATTCAACTTGAAATCATGATAAAACGTCATCTTAACTTGATTAGATTTTGTTTTTTGCAGTGTAGTACTCAACTTTACTTTTTAAAGCTGATTTTTTTTCCTCTAGTTTCATTATTTATTGTTCAGAAATGGTCAAAAGTGGATACACTGAAATAAAAACAATATCTAGGTAGGTTAAAATGGCTTAAATGAAAAATATTTGACTTTATTGAGTCGATTCAACTTCACAATTGAAATTATCCACGAATGGAATAAGTGTTTTTCAATTTTGTTTCTTGTTTTAAGCTGAAAAAGTTCTTGTTTTGTTATTTTAAGATGTATTTTTATATTTAAGTGCAAAAGGTCTTGTTCCAACAGCAGATCATTTTACTTTTCAGGTGAAATTGACTCAAATCATGATAAAACATCATCTTAACTTACCTAGATTTAGTTTTTTGCAGTGTAGTACTCAGTTATTTTTACTTGAGTAACTTATTAAAGCTGATTTTTTACTCCTAGTTTCATTATTTATTGCTTAGAAATGATCATAAGGTGGTACACTGGGAAAAAAACAATATCTAGGTAAATTAAAATGACTTCAATTAAGAATATTTGACTTTATTTGAGTCGATTCAACTTTACAAGTCAAATTATCCACCAACCGTTTCTTATTTAAGTTGTATTTTCATATTTTAAGTACAAAACGTCTTGTTCCACTGGCAGATCATTTTAGTTTTCAAGTGAAATTTATTCAAATCATGATCAAACGTCATGTTAACTTGACTAGATTTAGTTTTTGCAGTGTAGTACTCAGTTATTTTTACTTGAGTAACTTATTAAAGCTGATTTTTTACTCCTAGTTTCATTATTTATTGTTTAAAAATGATCAAAGGTGGTACACTGAAATAAAAACAATATCAAGGTAAATTAAAATAACTTAAATTTAAAAATATTTGACTTTATTTGAGTCGATTTAACTTCACAAGTCAAATTATCCAACAGTGGAATAAGTTAGAATAAGTTTTTCAATTTTGTTTCTTGTTTTAAGCACAAAAAGTTCTTGTTTTTGTTATTTTAAGATGTATTTTTATATTTAAGTGCAAAAGGTCTTGTTCCAACGGCAGATCATTTTACTTTTCAGGTGAAATTGACTCAAATCATGATAAAACATCATCTTAACTTACCTAGATTTAGTTTTTTGCAGTGTAGTACTCAATTATATTTACTTGAGTAACTATTTAAAGCTGATTTTTTACTCCTGGTTTCATTATTTATTGCTTAGAAATGATCAAAAGTGATACACTGGGAAAAAAACAATATCTAGGTAAATTAAAATGACTTAAATTAAAAATATTTGACTTTATTTGAGTCGATTTAACTTCACAAGTCAAATTATCCAACAGTGGAATTCAAGCAACATTTGATTTTGTTTCTTATTTTAAGTCCAAAAAGTTCCACTTGCAGATCATTTTACTTTTCAAGTGAAATTGACTCAAATCATGATCAAACGTCATCTTAACTTGACTAGATTTAGTTTTTTGCAGTGTAGTACTCAGTTCTATTTACTTGAGTAACTTTTTAAAGATGTTGTACTTTTCTGGCAGTGTACTTTTACTCCTACTTGAGTCATATTTGTACAAAAGTAACAATACGTGTTTTTTTCCCGCTGTGAGTGAGTCTAAAGTGACAAAAGTTTAAATTTGAAATGATTTGAACATTTGTGTTTCTTTAATTCCTCCAAATACGATTTAGGTTTTCAAATTTTTGTGTCTGTCTTTTGAAAACACCTGAAAACACCAGATCTTGAGCTTTATTTACGGTTTTATCCTTCACATTACTTAAACGTCAAATTATAAATCAGATATGACGTCCTGCAGTCTTTATGTTACTCTTACTCGAGTATTTTCCCTCAATTACTTTTTTATTTTTATATCAGATGAGACAATATGAAATGATTTGAACATTTGTGTTTCTTTTTTTCCTTCAAATCTGATTCAGTTTGTCTCATTTTTGTGTTTGTCACCAGAAAACACCAGATTTTGAACTTTATTTACGGTTTTATCCTTCACGTTTCATTCAAGTCAAATTATAAATCAGATTTTATGTCTGGACAGTTTTTTTGTTACTCGACGTGAAAGACAAAACCGTAAATAAAGCTCAAAATCTGGTGTTTTTTTGGTGTTTTCAAAGGACAGACACAAAAATGAGACAAACTAAATCAAATCTGAAGGAATAAAAGAAACACAAATGTTCAAATCGTTTCATTTTGTCTCATAAAAAAGTATTTACGGGAAAATACTCGAGTAAGAGTAACATATTTACTTTACTTACTTTATTTACTGTTTTGTCCTTCACTTTACATTCAAGTTAAATTATAAATCAAATATGACGTCCTGCAGTCTTTACGTTACTTTTACTCGAGTATTTTCCCCAAATACGTTTTTTTTGTGTTAAAAAATGAAATGATTTGAACATTTGTGTTTCCTGCAGCTTCTTCAAAAACAATTTAGTTTGTCTCATTTTTGAAAACGGCAGATTTTGAGCTTGATTTACTGTTGTGTCTTTCACATTACTTAAACGTGAAATTATAAATCAGATTTTATATCTTCACGTAATTTGACGTGAAAGACAAAACAGTAAATAAAGCTCAAAATCTGGTGTTTTCTGATGTTTTCAAAAGGACAGACACAAAAACGAGACAAACTAAATCAAATCTGAATGTTGAAATGTTCAAATCATTTCATATTTTCACTTAAAAAAGTATTTGAGGGAAAATACTCGAGTAAAAGTAACATAAAGACTGCAGGACGTGACATCTGATTTATAATTTGACGTTTAAGTAATGTGAAACAGTAAATAAAGTAAATAAGTAAAGTAAATACGTGATTCTTACTCGAGTATTTTCCACAAATACTTTTTTATGAGACAAAATGAAACGATTTGAACATTTGTGTTTCTTTTATTCCTTCAGATTTGATTTAGTTTGTCTCGTTTTTGTCCCTGTCCACCTGAAAACACAGGATTTTGAGCTTTACTTTATCGTTTTGTCTTATATTCACGTTACTTAAACGTCAAATTCTAAATCAGATTTTACGTCCTGACAGTTTTTATGTTACTCGACGTGAAAGACAAAACCGTAAATAAAGCTCAAAATCTGGTGTTTTTTGGTGTTTTCAAAAAGACAGACACGAAACGAGACAAATGTTCAAATCATTTCATTTTGTCTCATAAAAAAGTATTTGGGGGAAAATACTCGAGTAAGAGTAACGTATTTACTTTACTTATTTACTGTCATGTTTTGTCTTTCACATTACTTTAACGTCAAATTATAAATCAGATGTCACGTCCTGCGGTCTTTACGTTACTCTTACTCGAGTATTTTCCCCATATACTTTTTATTTTAGATCAAATGAGACAATCTGAAACAACTTGAACATTTGTGTTTCTTTAATTTGTCTCATTTTGTGTCTGTCCTTTGAAAAACGCCAGAAAATATAAATTTATTTCATGTTTTATCCTTCACGTTCCTTAAAGGTGAAATTATAAATCAGATATGACGTCCTGTAGTCTTTACGTTACTCTTACTCGAGTATTTTCCCCAAAAACTTTTTTATGAGACAATCTGAAATGATTTGAACATTTGTGTTTCTTTAATTTCTTCAGATTTGATTCAGTTTGTCTTGTTTATGTCCCTGTCCACCTGAAAACACCAGATTTTGAGGTTTATTTACTGCTTTGTCTTTCACGTTACTTAAACGTCAAATTATAAATCAGATTTTACGTCCTGACAGTTTTTACTCCGACTCCAGTGAAATTCCAGATTATAATAAACAGATATTTGAGTAAAAATTGAACGGTGAATCCTCGTAAAACACTGGAGAGAATAATGAACCTGATGAACCAAACTGGGAGAGTACAGCCAAAGATTGTACTGAAGTAAAAGTACTTCAAGTTACAAAATAGTATTACGCATACTTAAGTAATAATCTGTTTATTTATTGTTGCTCTGTCGAAGTGTCGTTGTGTTTTGTGCAACGATAAATCTAAATCTTAAAATATTGTCCAAGAAATGTCTCGAGTAAAAGTAAAAAAAGGATTTGGGCAAAGTACTACTCGAGTAACTTAAAGAGTAACTTGACGTGAAAGACAAAACAATAAATAAAGCTCAAAATCTGGTGTTTTCAAAGGACAGACACCAAAACGAGACAAACTAAATCATTTTTGAAGGAAAAAAAGAAACACAAATGTTCAAATCTTTTCATTTTGTCTCAGAAAAATAGTATTTGGGGGAAAATACTCGAGTAAAAGTAACATAAAGACTACAGGACGTCATATCTGATTTATAATTTGACGTGAATGTAACGTGAAGGATAAAACAGTAAATGAAGTAAGTAAAGTAAATACGTGATTCTTACTCGAGTATTTTCCACAAATACTTTTTTATGAGACAAAATGAAATGATTTGAACATTTGTGTTTCTTTTATTCCTTCAGATTTGATTTAGTTTGTCTCGTTTTTGTCCCTGTCCACCTGAAAACACAGGATTTTCAGCTTTACTTTATCGTTTTGTCTTTCACGTTACTTAAACGTCAAATTATAAATCAGATTTTCTGTCCTGACAGTTTTGACATTATTTGATGTGAAGGACAAAACAATAAATAAAGCTCAAAATCTGGTATTTTTTGGTGTTTTCAAAGGAAGACAGACACGAAAACGCAGAAACAAATGTTCAAATCATTTCAATTTTGTCACATAAAAAAGTATTTGGGGAAAATACTCGAGTAAAAGTAACGTAAAGACTTTACTTATTTACTTTATTTCATGTTTTGACGTTTACATTAATGTGAAACAGTAAATATAAATCAGATATGACGTCCTGTAAAGTCTTTATGTTACTTTTACTCGAGTATTTTCCCCCAAATACTTTTTTATGAGACAAAATGAAACGATTTGAACATTTGTGTTTCTTTTTTTTCCTTCAGATTTGATTTAGTTTGTCTCGTTTTGGTGTCCTGTCCACCTGAAAACACCAGGATTTTGAGCTTTATTTACTGTTTTGTTTTTCTTTCACGTCAAGTTACTTTTTTACTCATATTTTCCCAAATCCTTTTTTTACTCTTACTCGAGACATTTTTGACAATATTTTAAATTTAGATTTATCTCATTGCAAAAACAAAACACAACGAAACGCTTCGACAGAGAAGACAAAAACAAACAGAGATTACTTAAGATGCAGTAATACTATTTTGTAACTTGAAGTACTTTTACTTTAAGAAATCTTTGGTGTACTTCAGTTTGGTTCAATCAGGTTTTATTACTAAATATTGTTTATTTATCATCTGGAACATTTCACGTCAGTAAAAACTGTCAGGACGTAAAATCTGATTTTAATTTGACAGTTTAGGTTAACTTGAAGGACAAAACAGTAAATAAAGCTCAAAACCCGGTATTATCTTGTTTTCAAAGGACAGACACCAAAACGAGTCAAACTAAACCGTTTTTGAAGGAAAAAAAGAAACACAAATGTTCAAATCTTTTCATTTTGTCTCAGAAAAATAGTATTTGGGGGAAAATACTCGAGTAAAAGTAACATAAAGACTACAGGACGTCATATCTGATTTATAATTTGACGTGAATGTAACGTGAAAGACAAAACATGAAATAAGTAAAATGAATACGTTACTCTTACTCGAGTATTTTCCACAAATACTTTTTTATGAGACAGTGTGAAATGATTTGAACATTTGTGTTTCTTTAATTCCTTCAGATTTGATTTAGTTTGTCTCTTTTTGTCCCTGTCCACCTGAAAACACAGGATTTTCAGCTTTATTTTATAGTTTTGTCTTTCACATTACTTAAACGTCAAATTATAAATCAGATTTAAAGGACAAAACAGTAAATAAAGCTCAAAATCTGGTATTTTTTGGTGTTTTCAAAGGACAGACACAAAACGAGACAAACTAAATCGTTTTTGAAGAAGCTGCAGGAAACACAAATGTTCAAATCATGTCAAATTGTCACACAGAAAAGTATTTGCGGAAAATACTCGAGTAAAAGTAACGTAAAGACTGCAGGACGTCATATCTGATTCATAATTTGACGAAATAAAGTAAATAAGTAAAATAAATACGTAAGAAGGTTTTAAATAAGAAACAAAATCCAATGTTACTTGAATTAAGAAAAACTAGGAGTGTCCAAAAATATCAAAATATCGACATATCGTATCGTTTAATGTGATGATCCAGTATCGATATCCTTGTCTTGCTGTGTCGATATATCACCAAGACTATTTTTTGGTTTATTTTACTAAATTATTTTGTTCCAGCTACAGTTTTGTTGCTTGTTTAGTTGAAGGAAACTCGTTTATTCGACACATTTGACATTTTCACAGTTTTGATGATTTAAATGTTTGTGTTTCATATGAACTTTGTGATTTAACAAAGACGTTTAGTGTCACAGATTTAAACTATATTTTTACTGAACCGTATCAAATCGATTTGAAATATATCGTATTGAATCGTAAGCTCACTGTATCGAGATATGTATCGTATCGGCAACTTCTGAATGATCCCCTGGTCCACTCATGATTCACACTAAATATTTTTACATATGTACAAATATATTTCACATTTCATCATAAATTATACTTTTTGTGAAGCTCAAACACTATTTTGAGGTTAGAAAACTGTATTTTTTTCCATCCTTCTTAACAGAGAAGCAAAGTAACTAATATTTGTACCTTAGAAATACAAAACGGTTGTTTATTTTTTGTTGTAATGTCATAAAACCATCAGTATTTAGATCTGCTCATCAATTAATCAGTTAAATATAATATTATATCTGCTTCATTTTGCCTCCACTCTGGAAGTTTGAACATTCTGACGGCATTAGGAGTGTGTAAAAATATCAAAATATCAATATATCGTATTGTTTAATGTGATGATACAGTATCGATATCGTGGGCTGCTGTATCGATATTTCACCAAGAGAATTTATTGGTTTATTTTACTAAATTATTGTGTTACAGCTGCAGTTTTGTTGCTTTTGATGATTAAAATGTTTGTGTTTCATATGAACTTTGCACAAGAAGAAGTGATTTAAAAAGACTTTTAGTGTCACAGACGTGATTTAGACTTTATTTTTATTGAATCGTATTGAATCAATTTGAAATATCGAACTGAAATTTCACTGTATCGAGGAAAGTTGCTTAAATTAAGACAAACACTCTTATTCCACTGGTGGATAATTTGACTTGTCGACTCAAAATCGACTCTAATCAAGTCAAATGTTTTTAATTTAAGACATTTCTCCTGCTCTTTACGCTCTACTCTTTACATCCATTTCAAAAAAACGATTAATTGAGCTTAAAAACATAATTCTAGCTTCGTGTTTTTTTGTTTTTTCCTCTTCGGTGACACAGACGTCCTTCGTTTTGGCCTGGTCCGGTATCGTGACGTCATCTCTCTGCGCGCGCAAATCCATTGTTCGAAAACGTAATTACAAAACCAGTTTTTATGAGCAGAGTAAGTTCCTCTCGTTCTGAACAACGACCGAAATCTCAGGGTGCGGCTGGAAAACGCAAAAGCAAATATCCCAGAGTGGAGCGGACAGGTTGAGTCGTGTAACGAGCGCTTCAAGAGTTTGTGACAGAGGCTCAGGCTGAGCGACGTTAATGCTTTTCTGATACAAATGTTTGAGACAGGATTTAAAAACGTCTCGATATTACAATTAAAACTCGAATTTCAAGACTGAAGAAAAGGCTCGATATGTGATATTAAACTGTTAAACTGAGCCTGTATTTTCCATTAAAGAGTTTCAGACGACATCAGAAACATCTATAAATCCAACTTTATTTAATACAAACGGGGGCAGCTCCACGGTCACACGAGAGGAGCTCGGAGTAGAGCTGCTGCTCCTCCACGTCGAGAGGAGCAGTTGAGGCTCGGGCGTCTGTTCTGATGCCTCCTGGGTGTTTTCCTCTGGAGGTGTTCATGTCCCACCGGGAGGAGGCCCCAGGGACGACCCAGGACACACTGGAGGGACTATGTCTCTGGGCTGGTCTGGGAAAACCTCCGGCTCCTCCTGAAGGAGCAGGAGGAAGTGTCTGGGGTGGAGGAAGTCTGGGAGTCCCTGCTCAGACTGATGCCCCCGCAACCCGGCCCTGGATAAACGGGAGAACATGGATGGATGGATGGATGTGGGCAGCTAAAGTAAATAATAACAGAAATATCGTGATATCGTATCGTCGTGTCTCGATAATATCGTGGGTCGTCACAAAACATCGAATTAAATAGTTATGTGGTTTTTACGTTTTTCTTTGTGATTTCATTGTCGTTTTTAATCTGTAAATCTCTTGGAATTAGTTTGTGTATGAATTTGTGCCGTAAAAATAAACTTGTCTTGCTTTGACTTGGTGCAGCAACAACTAAAAAAACTAAAGTTCATATGAACTTTACACAAGAAGTGATTTAACAAAGACTTTTAGTGTCATAGACATGATTTAGACTTGATTTTTATTGAATCATATCGAACTGAAAGCTCACTGTATCGAGACATGTGATATGATATTAAAATGCATCTGAAGTCATGTTTTTCATGATAAATGCACAGGTCATAATTTAAACATTAAACTAATTGTGTTTCATCCAGTTTTGTTCTCATGAAGGTTTAATCGACCAAAACATTATCTGTAATCACTGATAAATCACCTTATATCGTCCTGTGTTATATCGATATATCGACATGTTCTGATATACTGAAGTGTGACATGTGTCACGTCGATGCTGAGCCCTGATCAGGGCTGTAGTGGGCGTGGAATATAATGTGACATATAAAAAAAAAATTATATATATATATATATATATATATATATATATATATATATATATATATATATATATATATATATATATATATATATATATATATATTTAAAATAGCTACAATTTGAATGTCAAAGCGGATGTTATCATGTTGTTTCCTCGTCAAAAACAAAAGCTGGTGTTTTGTTTCATTCTCATGTTTGTGTGACGCTTTATTATTAATCTGTCCACATCTCCAAAGCTCAAAGTGCTCGTTTTCGGGTTAACTGCTCCTTTTACTTTTTGTTCAGTACAGTCGTACAGTGTAGTAATTCCAGGGCTTAAATTACACAAATGATTTTAGTGAATTGTATTGTATGTTTAAAAACACAGCAGAGTGAGTTTTGTTGTACCACATGACATCACAAAGTGGAACAGTGTTTTACCATTTCATGTTAAATATGAAGGATTTAAACACAGAAATAGTGAAATAAAACACAACTCCAGGTCTGTTTGTGACGAGGAAACGACATTAAATCTTTAGAATCTTTAAATCTTCTTTGTTCTAACTCGTGTCTTTTTCTCTTTTGTTGTTGCAGATGAGAAAACGTGCACGGACAGCGAGCACGAGCTGGACCCGCACGAGGACGCCTGCCCCGGCTCCACCAGCCCGGGAGCGCAGCCCGTGTCCCCGTACAGCTCCCGGTGCGAGGACCCGCTCCGGGACCGACCCCCGGAGAAGAAGGAGCACGGCCTGTTCGGCGTCCGAGCCCTGGAGAAGGACAAAGCCGAGCGACGCAAGGACCCGGACGCGTTACCCAAAGACTCTGACTCTTCCGGAGGCATCAGCGCCACCAAAGACGCCTTCTCCCCGCTCATGGTGCAGACGGAGAGTTCGCACTTCAGTCCGGGACATTTACAAAGCCTGGCTCTCTCCGGTCTCCACGGGCAACAGTTCTTTAACCCGCTGAGCACCGGGTCGCCGCTGCTCTTCCACCCGTCGCAGTTCGCCATGGGGCCGGCGGGCGCGTTCTCCGCCATGGGCATGAGTCACCTGTTGGCGTCGGTGAGCGGGGCGGGCGCCCTGGAGAACGGGAGTCTGTCCAGCCAATCGGCGGCCGGAGGCGGGGCTTTTCCTTTCCACCTGTCGCAGCACATGCTCGCCTCACAGGTGAGAGTCAGCGCCGCGACGCCGCACACACACCTGGAAACACACAGGGTTATACAAAACTTTATCATATAAGGTTTATAAATCTGTGTCGTTCGTTTTTCAAAATAAAACCAAAAATAAGAAAATGAAAAAACAACTATTTTATTCATTATTTGTCTCCAAAAAATGAAAAAAAAAAAAAACAGATAATGATTAGTTTTTTTCAGCTTTCGATTTTGTGTTTAAATGAAAAATGGAAAAAACAGAACCAGGACTAAACCAGGTCTTAAACCGTTTTCAGTCCCGGTCTCAGTCCCGGTCTGGTCCCAGCCTCAATCACGATCTCAGTCCTAGTCTCAGTCCCAATCTCAATCCTGGTCCTGTTCCCAGTCTCAGTCCCGGTCTGGTTCCAGTCTGGTCCCGGTCTCAGTCCCAATCTCAATCCTGGTCCTGGTCTCAGTCCCGGTCTGGTCCTGGTCTCAGTCCCTGTTCTGTTCCCAGCCTCAGTCCTGGTCTCAGTCCTGGTCTGTTCACAGTCTCAGTCCCGGTCTGGTCCAGGTTTTGTCCTGGTCTGGTCCCAGCCTCAATCACAGTCTCAGTCCCAATATCAGTCCTGGTCCTGGTCCCGGTCTCAATCCTGGTCTAAGTCCCGGTCTCAGTCCCAGACCTGTTTTAGTCCTGGTTCAGTCCGTTATCCAAAATCGAAAACTGAAAAAAACAAATCATTATCTGTTTTTTCATTTTGGTTTTGGAGACAAATAATGAAGAAAATCGTTGTTTTTTCTTTTTCTCATTTTTGGTTTTATTTTGAAAAACGAATGAACGAACGACACACAGATTTTTATAACACGTGTCATGTTTATAATCACCGTTTTTTAAATGATCAGTGTTGATTTTGTCGACTAAAAGATGAGATCAGATTTTCCAGTCGATATTTTCACGCACTAAACACAATAATCGTTCTTTCAAATAACAAAACATTGTACTTTTCTACTTTTCACTTGAGCAAAGCTGGAAAATATCAAATAACATTCACTCACGTCACTGTAATTGAGTCGTTTTTATGAGTAATTTGTCATTTTTTTTGTAGTTTCTGCTGTGAAATATAAATCATTTTACTTTTACTCAGGTACATTTTGACCCAAGTATTAAATATTCATCAAATATTTTAAGAGAAATATCCACAAACGTTTGTCCCGATGATTTCTATAAGTGATAAAGTCCATTTTCTTGCTGTTTTAATCCGACGGGACACAGGGAGGTGCAGGGAGTCGGGCTTTTCAGAGCATTTTTGTTGTTTTTTCTTCATTTTCTGTGCATTTTTGTTGCTTTGCGTAGAGATATTGCTGATATTTACGTCTTGTTTTTACGGCTAAAGTCCATTTTTAGTTGTGTGTAAGTTGTTTTTGACGTAATATTTGAATCCAGTTCAGACCAACGTTGTCAAAAGTCCCAAAAATCACACTGTAACCAAAACTAAAACTGGTATCAAAACGAAACACTCACTGTCAAACCAAGAGTGTTTTTATTCATCATCGGGTCTCGAGTTTGAAGTTTTAGTATCGTGACAACAGAAATTTTGCAGATAAATAGAGACACGTTCAGATAAACCCGGAAAACACTGAAGACTTGTCGGTTTTTCGATAAAATCTGTGAACGTTAGAACAAAATTTTATACGAGGAAGGAACCGACGTGTCAGAAAACAGAAAGCAGAGGGTTTTTTTCATCTCGTTTCTTATTGGCTTTTCTTTTTTTGAAACCTTAATGAAACAAGGACTAAACCAGGACTAAACCAGGACTAAACTACCAGGGCTAAACCAGGACTAAACCAGGACTAAACCAGGACTAAACCAGGCTAAACCAGGACTAAACCAGGACTAAACCAGGACTAAACCAGGACTAAACCAGGACTAAACCAGGACTAAACCAGGGCTAAACCAGGACTAAACCAGGACTAAACCAGGACTAAACCAGGGCTAAACCAGGACTAAACCAGGAGTAAACCAGGACTAAACCAGGACTAAACCAGGACTAAACCAGGGCTAAACCAGGACTAAACCAGGAGTAAACCAGGACTAAACCAGGACTAAACCAGGACTAAACCAGGCTAAACCAGACTAAACCAGGACTAAACCAGGGCTAAACCAGGGGGCTAAACCAGGACTAAACCAGGACTAAACCAGGACTAAACCAGGGCTAAACGAGGACTAAACCAGGACTAAACCAGGACTAAACTAAGACTAAAGCAGGACTAAACTACCAGGAAAAAACTACCAGGACTAAAGGGTGGAAACCATACCGAAGCTTTATGATGTAAATGGGACTAAAGTAGGACTAAACCAGGACTAGAACCAGGTCTAAACCAGGACTAAAGCACAACTAAACTACCAGGACTAAAGGGTGGAAACTATACTGAAGCTTTATGATATAAATTGGACTAAACCAGGACTAAAACAGGACTAAACCAGGACTAAACAAGGACTAAACCAGGACTATCCCGAGGCTAAACCAGAGCTAAACCAGGACTAAACTAGGACTAAACAACGAGGACTAAACCAGGTCTAAACCAGGACTAAACCGAGGACTAAACAACGAGGACTAAACCAGAACTAAACCAGGACTAAACTACCAGGACAAAAGGATGGAAACCGTACCAAAGCTTTGTGATGTAAATGAGACTAAAATAGGACTAAATCCAGACTAAACCAGGATTAAACCAGGACTAAACCAGGAGGAGTAAAGGGCAGAAACCGCACCAAAGCTTTATGATGTAAATGGAACTAAACCAGGACTAAACCAGAACTAAACAACCAGGACTAAGGGGCTGAAACTGTACCAAAGCTTTATGATGTAAATGAGACCAAACCAGGACTAAATCCAGACTAAATTAGGACTAAACAATCAGGAATAAAACTACCAGGATTAAAGGGTGAAAACCGTCACAGAGCTTTATGACGTAAATGGGAGTAAACCAGGACTAAAACAGGACTAAACCAGGACTAAACTACATGGACTAAAGGGTTGAGACCGTACCGAATCTTTATGATGTAAACAGGACTAAACAAGGACTAAACCAGGACTAAACCAGGACCAAACTACATGGACTAAAGGGTTGAGACTGTACCGAATCTTTATGATGTAAACAGGACTAAACAAGGACTAAACCAGGACTAAACCAGGACCAAACTACATGGACTAAAGGGTTAAAACTGTACCAAAGCTTAAAGACTAAATCAGGACTAAACCAGGACTAAACCAGGACTAAAGAGTTGAAACTTTACTGAAGCTTTATGATGTAAACGGGACTGAACCGGGACTGAACCAGGACTAAACCAGGACTGAACCAGGACTAAACCAGGACTAAACCAGGACTAAAGAGTTGAAACTTTACTGAAGCTTTATGATGTAAACGGGACTGAACCGGGACTGAACCAGGACTAAACCAGGACTAAACCATGACCGAAAATCAGAATCATTCACATTTGTATTAGACGTACAGTAAGTGAGTCGTTAGAAATTGTACTTTTCTAGCCGCATACTTATACTTCAGTAACATTACTCTGAAGTACTGTTCCTCTCCTTCTTTTAGACACGGGCCTTGAAACTTTGAAATATTTTACTCCAGATCTGGTCCAACTTTCTCAACCTGCTCCATAAATAAAGACGAAGTTTTTTTTGTCATTTTAAACATTTCTGGAACACGACGATAATCCGACGGTCAAGGACATGATGCTGAAATGGATTTTATCGAAATGATCAGGGAAAACGTTTGTGGATTTTCCTTTTGGAGAGATAAAAACGAAATAAAATGGCTTCTGGTCGGTCGGAGAAAGGGACACGTCGTTCTGCTGTCTATTAAAAACAAAACAAAACAGTACAATTCATCGTCGTCCAATCGAGACTTTTCTGGCTAAAATCGCAAAACCCTCCTCAGTAAACTCATAAATATTGCTTTGAATTTTCTCAAAAACACTGAAATTATGTTACGGTTCTAACAAAATGTTTTTAAATCTGCGTAAAGTTGACGTCTACTATTTTATTGTCTCACTCACTCGTAAAAAAAAAAGAACTAAAAACCAAAATATTTCATCTTTTGAACACAAAAAAAATCCTCAAAATATCACGTACTGATACTTTGCATGGGGGTACTGCGTGTATGTCTATGGAAGTGTGTTCAGCGGTTGCCATGGTGACACAACGCACACGTCGCACTGCAAATTTCTCTGATCTGGCCAAGATTTAAAAACTTATATCAGGTTATTTTTTGTCTTTGTTTTCAAATTTATTATCAACTTACTCATTCTGAGATGTATTGATTTCTAGTCTAGAGGTTGTTTATTTTAAGAAAAGTTGCTGCGTGGACTGATAATTTCACGTCTTTTAACTCATTTTCTGATAGATTTAAGTGTTTAGAGCTTAAGTTTTGGTCAAGCTTTTTGCGAAACACAGTTCAATATGTTTTTAGAGTGTCTGAAAGCGAAAGACAAAATGCAAAAGTGATTTAAAGAGCGCGTTTTCAGGAGCCTGTGATCAGGCCGAGTGTTCGTGGATCTGTTTAAGAGTTTGATTTTCAACACAAAGATGAGAGGGACTAATTCTAGCTCTTTTAGGGTGACCAGACGTTCCTCTTTACCCGGGACAGTCCCAGTTTTGAGCCTGTGTCCCCTGTCCCAATAGATTTATACAAAACCACTGATTTGTCCCAGTTTTATGCAAGAAATGTCACAGTTGTCCCGATTTTGGACCAATCTGATCCCTGCAAACAGTAAAGAGAGACATAAATTCCGATTTGTTTAGGTAAAATACAAAAAAATCAGCTTTAAAAACGACCAAAACACAAAGAAAACGTGACTATACTGACTCACATGTTCTTCATGAATGGTCTCTGCGGAATAATTTACCTTAATTACACTTTCGTTTTACAATTTTATTATCACAAACCACCAAAACACCAGGGAAGTCTCACACCCACATCTACATCCACATGGCAAAGCTCCTGGTTTGTTTGTTTTTTTTGTTTATTTGCTGGTTGATAAAATTTGCATCCACGCACGTCAGATCAAGAAATATTCATGTCCACACGACAACGGAGCAATGAGTGAAAACAATGTAATAAATGTGCCACACCTGTATGTGGCGCTGTTAACAATGATAATAATATTTAATAATGCAGATCTCATCACCGGTTTTTTAAACTTTAAGGTAATTTAGTCCATTTTAGGTGTATCCCACAAATATCACCGTTTTGTTTTGCAAAAGTTAAACATAAGTTTTCATTTTTAGCCATAAGATTTGGATGAGAATTATTAGAATAACTTGGTCTCAAAATCCGACAGTTTAATTACTCGTGTGCGGTTTTGGTTCCTGATCCGTGTGCTTAATCTGCGGTGCGTGTTTTTAGTGTTAGCAGTGTATCTCGGTTCTTGGGTGATGGGAGCGGCTCAGGGGGCTACACCTGTCACATTTCGGTAACGGCCTTACAATCCGCGGAGGCCAGTGTCAGGGCTACGACGTCATCGTTTTTCAAAAGCTGCGGTTTGTTTGTCCACATGACAACACAACACCAGTGTTTTCAGATTTCACTCTGGAACCCGTTCTCAAAAAACACAATTTTTGCCCACCAAAAACACCGCCTCTGTGCCAATGAAAGACCAAAACTAATACAAACTTCACCGTTTCACCAAAAAACGTTGTTGTGTGGACAAGTCCTAAGTTTTTTATCTTAAAATTCGAGCTTGTGACTGTCATGTTGTGTTAGCCAGATTGCGTTAAAATAAAGATCAGATTAAAGGGCCCATCTCATGCAAAATCAAGTTTTCAGAGCTTTCTACCTTCTAAGAGTGATGTGTGGGCCTTTTATTTGTCACCGAAGTGGTTTTTAGATTGATTCGTTTTGGGTTTTTTTTACAAATTGCAGCGTATTTCTGCCACCCTCCCACGTGACAACGAACTAAAGCTGCTACAACGATGATGCATTTGACGTAGCAGAAAGAGCTTCACACCCGCCCCTCTCCCCGCTCCACCGCCTCCGCCCCACCTCCACTCCGCATCGACTGATCACACCTAAACAAAAGCGACAGCAGAAGCTCATTGTTCTACACTGCAGTGAACACGATATAATAAGTTTATCTACTAGTGTTTATTAAAACTTTACCAATCAGTAATGTTCAGCTGATGTGGACGTGGTGCTTGAGCTTCGTGCTCCTCAAAGTCCTCGTCCGATTCCGGGTCCAACACATGCGGCTGAACGCGCTGTATCACCATGATGAATAAAAGTTTATTCCTGCCACTATCAGGTCGCACGTCTGTCTCCCCCTCCCTCCCTGAGACGGCGGAGGAAGGGCGGCTCACTCAGAGCCTACGTCACGTTTGGAGGGTGGAGCCTGTGCTTTCTCAGGACGGGCGGGGGGAGGAGCAATAGTTGGTCTTTCATAGTTCCTGGTCTGTGACTGTCTCCAAGAAATCAGTAAAATTTAATAACTATTGTTTAATGGATGTTCCAAAACTCAAATTGTGCTTGTTTATGTGCAGAGGATAAATGTGAAAAGAGTTATTTTACATAAGATGGGACCTTTAAAGTTGAGTTAGGGTTGAACTCAACTTTGAAATGTTTGCTTCTGTTTTTTGTCTTGATAAACTGACTTACACCTTCTTCCTTTCTCTCTTTCTGTCTCCTCAGGGCCTGCACATGCCTCCGTTCGGCGGGCTCTTTCCGTACCCGTACACGTACATGGCGGCGGCGGCGGCAGCTGCTTCCGCCTCGGCCCTCCCCGGCTCCAGCTCCAACAGCCCGCTCTCCAGAAACCCGTTCATCGCCTCCACCCGGCCCCGGCTCCGGTTCAACCCGTACCAGCTCCCGGTGTCCCTGCCCCAGAGCTCCGGCGCCTCCCTGCTCTCCTCCGGCCTCCTGCCCGCCGCGGACTGCTCCAAATCGGGCAGCAGGGAGTCCAGCCCCCCCCCTGAGATCCTCCACAAGGTCTGCTCGAGCGGGAGAGCCAGCGCGTCGCCCAAAAGCTCCGTGAAAGACAGTGTGAACGAGCTCCAGAGCATACAGAGACTGGTGAGCGGGTTGGAGGGCCAGCGAGACTCCTCCCCCTCCGCAGAACCCCCAAACTGATACGAAAAAAACAAAAAAACAAAACAAACGCAAATGGACAAGAACTTTAACCGGTTTGGAAAAATCACAGCACCAGAACCACCACCAGGGGGCGCGGGTCGTGTTGTTTGGCACATCGGACGGATACGGGCGCTCACTCGGCTCGGAAGATTTTCAAGAAACTGCGACTCAAATCCAACTTTTTTTTTGTGGAAATTTGGACAAAAAAACTGACAATTTGTGGACAAAACGTAAAACGACGAATTTAGTGATCTAAAACAAGAATTTAAAGGCGCTACACCTGGTTTTTCCCGACGGATTTGAGCAAAATTTGAAGTCAAAATAAGAAATCAGAAATCGTTTCATTGCCCGAGAATCTGGAAGTGCGCCGTTTGCATGCTAGTTTGACTGTCCCCACCTCTGAAAGCTGCGAAAAGCGCTCAGAAACTCGTCGCGGCGAGTCATCAGGACGCCCAGAACGCGTGACGTAAGTGAGGAGTAACGTTAAAAAGTCGACAGTAAAAATCAGATGCAGCGCCTTTAAATCGAACGATTCGAAGAAAAGAAACAAAACGTTTTTTTGGTGGACATCTTGAGAGCTTTTCTGGTGCGAAAAAAACGATCAGACTGTGCGGAAACTTGAAGAATTTGCAGCAAAAAAAAAAAAAAAGCAGCAGAAATTTCACTTTTCAAAAACCCGCTGCGACGAAACAAAACATTCTTCTTCGCCGGTTTCGAAAATGGCGAAACTCGGTGACGCTTTTATCATTTCACGTCGATAACTATTTATGTAATTAAAACGAAGAAATCTGTACATAAGCTTAGATCCAAAAATATCCAATTGGTATTAATTTATTCAAAACTGTATAATATTGTGTAAATAATGTTGCTTTCACTTTCACTTTCTCTTTTCTCCCATTTGACCTGTTCCTGTACGATACTGACGCTTCGGCCGCTTGTGTAGGGTTTTGGTTTTTGAAGACGCCATTTCGGAATCTGCATTTGAAAATTTGAAAACTTTTTAATTTGAAAAAACACACCTCAGGTTTTGTCACTCCAGGAAGTCTCCACACATTTCTCCAACATGGCGCCGCATTCATATCTATTCATACGTATATTTAAAAAAAAAAGAAGGTATCTTGTTTATGCTGGTTGTCCGGGTAACTTTACTTTTTTTTTTTTTTTTTTTTTTTTGATTTTTTTTGTCTCACAATTTCAATAAAAAATCATTGTGCTGAAAAAATATACCATCGTCCAGACTGTTATTTATTTAAAACTACAAACATCAATTTAAAAAACAGTTGCCACGTTTAGAGAAGAGCTTTAATTCAGAATAAGAATAATTTAATTCCGCTTTAAAAAGACCATGTAAACACTTAATTCCTAATGAAAATGATTATTCGGAATTAAAGTTAATTGTGCAGTAAGTGGGTGGTTTATTCCCATTTTAAAGCCAAATTAATTTATTCCTCGATCATCTAAACGTTTATTTTTCTTAATAATAATAATTCTGAGACGATCCAGTTCCACCAGTCCTGACTTCGGACTTTCATCCACGTCTCTTTGGATTTGCGAGCGGGATGCGGGAGTGGGCTGACTCAGGGACTGAACCAGGACTGAATCAGGACTAAACCAGGACTAAACCAGGAGTAAACCGTTTTCAGTCCTGGTCTCAGTCCCAGTCTCAATCACGGTCTGGTCCTGGTCTCAGTCCCGGTCTCAGTCATGGTCTGGTGCTGGTCTGGTCCCTGTCTCAGTCCTGGTCTCAGTCCTGGTCTCAGTCCCAGTCTCAATCACGGTCTGGTCTGGTCCTGGTCTGGTCCCTGGTCTCAGTCCTGGTCTCAGTCCCAGTCTCAATCATGGCCTGGTCCTGGTCTCAGTCCTGGTCTCAATCACGGTCTGGTCCTGGTCTGGTCCCTGGTCTCAGTCCTGGTCTGGTTCTGGTCCCAGACCTGTTTTAGTCCTGGTTCAGTCCAGCATCACAGTTTAAGTCACCAAAACACGGCCGTTATCCATTTTTTCCATTTTTCATTTAAACACAAAATCGCAAAATTAAAAAACAAATCGTTATCAGTTTTTTCATTTTGGTTTTGGAGACAAATAATGAAGAAAATTGTTGTTTTTTCGTTTTCTTATTTTTGGTTTTATTTTGAAAAACGCATGAACGAATGACACACGGATTGATCTGCAGTCACCTCTGTCAAATTCTGGACGCACCGGGTCGTCTCAGTCGAGTCAGACGGATCTGGACGAGACCTGGAGATTCAGTCGACGTTGGGACGAGTTTGTGGAAGGAGGAGCTGATGAAAATGCCTGACGTGAAAACTTCTGTGTGCAAAGACGCTCACCGTATAATCACCATCATGATAAAAGAACAAAAAGTCTTATTCCATTTGCAGTGAAATTTACTCAAATCATGATGAAACTTTCTTAATTCAAGTCATCTTAACTTGACTAGATTTTGTTTTTTGCGGAGTATTTAGGCTGAGCTCTTCTCTCAAACTGAAAAAAACCCACTCTGTTCTACCTTGTGATGTCATACAGGAAGTGCTCCACTGTGTTTTTAAACTCCACACACCTTCACTCGAATCATCTGGATCATTTCAGCCCCGGAATTTCCCGTCTCTATTGAACTAAAGCTAAACGGAGCTCGGCAAAGGAGAAATGTTAATTTGTCAGCTGGACAGAAATTGTTTTCTACCAAAATAAAATGCAAGTTGACAAATTGGAATTTCTCCTTTTCTACCTGGACGACAGAGGGATTTTACACACGTCTTCATGACATCACAAGGTGGAACAGAGCATTTAGAGTTCTGGAAATGTAAACAGACTCATAATAAAGATTTACTCAAGCATGTAAAAGAAACAAAACACAACTCCAGCTCTGTTTTTGAGGATTTAACAACATTAGAACACGACTTAAACCTCACAAGAGTCCATTTTGTGTAACATAGAACCTTTAAAAATGTCTCTATAAACCCTGCATATAGATTTTAATTTTATTTTATTTTATTTTTGTATATTGATCATATATAAGCTGCCATATTGGACATATTTATAATTTATATTTTTAAGTTTACAGTGTAATAATTGGATGGTTGTCAGTCAAACACACAGTTTTATGGAACCTATGGAATTTATTTTGTATTTTATGAGTTACAAGAAATCGTAAAACTGTAAATTATTATTATTATTATCATTATAAGTAGTATTATTTTTTAATTTTTTATTTCTGACCCCAGTTTCCAGACTCTGTGGGACTTGGGCGCCTCCTGTTGGTCGGACGTTTCTCTCTCGCAGGTTTTTTGAATGTGGTTTGGTGGATTTGATTATAAATAGAAGTGGACATTTCATAATATTGACCATAAAACATATTAGTAAAAATTTGGTTTGGGTCTCTGGTTTTGATTTGCATTAGCCACCGTTAGCAGAGAGGCTAACGGTTCCTACTGCCGCCAATGGGCCTGGGCTTAGCATTTTAGCATTTTAGGGTTTATAGCATTTTAAAGCATTTGCCTAAGTTCATTTCTTTTTATTTAAAGCTACAACATGTCAGGCTGTGTTCACGCTTTACCACATACGAATTGGGACTAAACTTGGATCCTCCACCAATCTTTAAAGAGACACTATGGAACTTTTCCTGGGGAGAGTTTGCCGAGCTCATGTCCACGAAGACCTTTTTCAGAACAACCAGAAGTGTCTCGTTGTAGGTTTGTGGAACTTCCAATTAATGTTTTTCTGTGTCAAAATGTGTGTGTAAATGTGTGTCGTCTTCTCCAGCAGCTTCGTAAATCTGTCCCATCACCAAATCTTCAACCAACAAACTCCACAAAGGATAAACATTCTAACATGAACAATTTGTCCACAACGATCAAGAGAAGAAAGACGAAAATCTTAAAGGAAACAACGACGACGCGAACTAAAATAATGTTACGGTCGTGAATAAAACAGAAGGAACTTGTTCGCTTAGACTGATTCTGGAATTAAAATAAAAAATCTATTTCATGATGTCGATATTTAGCCTGATTCATCAGACAGTTTCACTTCGTAGAAACCGTGTGACCTCGCAGCATTAAGATTCGTTCGCTCGGCGGTAGATGGGTGCTGTCGTTTAGTCGTTTTTTATTTGATCGTGACGTATGTAATGCGTGAACTGGTATAATAAGCTTTTCCCAAATCCAGTAGAAAGAAGGACAATAACATCTTTCCCCTTGATAAAATTCACCAAACGTTCTCTTTGTTCCGGCTTTAAATCCTCGATCTCGGGAACACAGAATGTATGGCTTTTCTCTGATTGGCTGGTTCCTGAACTCGCACTTCTGGAGTTTTTGCGAACCGTCTAATGTATCCTGATTCCTGACCTAGTCGCTGGAGAGAAATGAAATTGAGCGGAAGCACTAGGTGGCGCCAGTCTGATTAGTCGCATAAACAGAGAGATTTGTGCAGTTCGAATGCGAGACATCTCCAGGACACCATCCATCCATTTCTTCCTCTTATCCGGGGTCGAGTCATGGGGGCATCGGTCTAAGCAAAGACTCCCAGACGTCTTTCAACCACCCTGGACACTTCTTCCAAGGCGTTCCCAGGCAAACCCAGAGACTTAGGCTACGTTCAGACTGCAGGGCTTAACGCTCAATTCCGATTTTTTTGTGAAATCTGATGTTTTTTCGAGGTCGTTCACATTTCCAATTAAATGTGACTTGTATGTGACTCCAGTGTGAACATTAAACGGCCCGAAAAGTGTCCCACATGTGACACTGGAGACACGACGACGTCAACCGCAGCGAGCGTCTCTGTGTTTACAGGAAGTTGTCCAAACATGGACGCAGCATCGAGCACCTGGAGATTTTAAAGTTCCTCTCGTACCGGAGCCAGAACATGAACAACTTACTTGTTTTAAGGAGGAGATTGAGAAGGAGAAGGACGAGGTTTTTGGTCGTGGTGTTTTGTGGGACAGCGGCAGCGACGTCCGTTGAAAGGAACATGTGGATGTGGAGACGGAGCCAAGAGTGGTGAGAGGTGATGTGCTTCACTTCAGTCACACAGAGTTCATTAACAATTTTCGCCTACTTCAGTGCAGAATAGTGACGTTTGTGTCTTGTTGATAACGTGTAGGTGGATGAATGCACTTTGGCCGTTCAGACTGAAGTCACATGTCAAAAGATCAGATACGTATCGGTTTCAGGAGCACATATCCAAGTGTCCTGGGTCACATTTGAAAAAATCTGATCTGTGTTGTTCAGACTGACATTAAAAGATCAGATACAGGAACATAGGGGCCAAAAAATCGGATCTGGGTCACTTCAGGCTGCAGTCTGAACGCAGCTATAGTCCCTCCAGCGGCTCTACTCCGAGCTCCTCCCGTGTGACTGAGCTCCTCACTCTATCTCTAAGGGAGCGCCCAGACACCCTGCGCAGGAAACTCATTTCAGCCGCTTGTATCCGCGATCTCGTCCTTTCGGTCATTACCCAAAGTTCCACAGGTGTGTGTGAAGAAAAAAAGGGTAGAGCGCTTCACTGCGTCTTAAAAGAGTAAAAAACATAACAGTACAGTTGCTCTACGAGGGTTAAAACAGTGATCTTTGAACAGAAAATTACTCTTACTGGAAACTGTAAGAATGGGTAAAGTACAAACCCGAGGCACTTCGACTGAATATATTAAAAGTCCTTTATTACATGAAGGGATGCCAACGTGTTTCGACCATCTTGGAATTGGATTGAGCGGTAAATCCAGAGCTTTTACCTGTTGGCTCAGCTCCCTCTTCACCACAACAGAATTGCATAACATAATCTTAGTTTTGCTCAGTGTGTCATTAATGCTCGTCGTTGTTTCCTTTAAGTTTTGGTCTTTCGTCTCTTGATAGTTGTGGATAAATTGTTCATGTTAGAATGTTTATCCTTTGTGGAGCTTGGTTGAAGATTTGGTGATGAGGCAGATTTATGACGACACACATTTACACACACATTTACACACACATTTACACAGAAAACCATTAACCGGAAGTTCCACAAACCTACAGCGGGACACTTCCGGTCGTTGTGAAAAAGATCTAAAGCTTTGGTGATAAAGTTACACACTTAGATATTTTTCTGATGAAGGCTTTTTTTGCCGAAACGTTTTTTTTTGAAAATAAAAAAGCTTTTGGACATCGGCCATCTGAGTTTGCTATGCATTTTTTCACTCTTGTCATTTGCACCTCTACAAGAATTTTGGCGTGCGTTTTCTGTTTCTTTTGATGAAACTT